CACACATAAGGGCACTGAGTACTAAGGCTGAGTGAGGCACATTCATACCATATATACAATACATAAAAAAAATAAATAAATAAAAAATATAAAAATCTATATAACAAAGGCAAAAACTATAATAAACCAAGGAAATGTAACTTAGAGTTAAAATTAAATGAAATACAGAAATTCGTAGCAAAATTAAATAAATTATAAGTAATAGAAATAAATAGAAAAACATTCATACTTAAATACAATATTTACAATTAGGTAAGATATCTCCGAGTCCAGGCCTTTCCCCCACGTGTGAAGGACAAAGCGAGACTCTAAGAGATCCCAGCGCTTCTCTCTCAATCGCGTCGCCGGCATTACCAGTCCGGTACGGACGTAAGTGGCCACTGAAAAATTTAGACTCTAATCCATTGGTTAGTAACTCCACTTTTAGTACTCCCAGGAGGCTCAAGGATGTACTGGGATGGTTTTTCTGCTGAATTGGGGAATCAGTGGTTGTATGGGCAAGTCCTTTAATCCCCAGAGAAATATGGAACTCTTTGTGAAACATTATAGAGTACCATTTACCATCTATATTTAAAACATTTCCCAACCTTAAAAATTAACTAACTTCCTTCAAACATTCTCCTACTTAAGAATGAAAATCGGAGACGGGCAAATAATTGCTACTAAGAATGCCGAGTACCAAGTATTTAATTCGAGTTGAATCACGTGTGGCCTCTGAAAAATTTAGAACCTAATCCGATAGAGTATAGTTGGTTATTGAAAATACTGACAGTACACCGAAGGAATTGGTTAGTTATTGTCGTTGAGGGTATTAAAAGACGGTTGATTGTCATAATCTTTCCCAAAAGCAGTATCAGAAGCTATTAAGTTATTTTAAATGTTTGTGAATTTTGCAAATCGTGTATTGGTTGTACTTTAAATAATATTTATTATAAATAAATTTATTTTTACTAATCTAGACTTATTCGCGTAAATCTTAAAGTAAATTAGGCAAATCACTATAATTTTCAATGTCAGGTGTTTATTTTGTCCAGTAGTTAATATAATTTAGTAGTTTAAAAAATACATATATAAACTTGTATATATTCACAACGAACACTATTTTTCCCGCTGCCTGAGAAGAACCGTATCCGGCTTCTGACGCAGGCTCGTGGCCCTCACTACGCTAGTTGGACTAGTTAGTTCCTAAAATACATGACATTTAGAATCATTTTGGAAGGGCGGAGTTTTCTGCCACGCCCATCCCAACTAGGAAGTACCAAATGAAGCCGACCTTGAAGGTCACAATATAAAAAGCCGGGGTACCAACATTTGGTCAATTGGTCTCTCAGTTCGATTCTATTGGAACCATGAAGTTGTTGGTAAGATATTCAAGAGTATTTTTTAATAATTATATAAACGAAAATAATCTATGCTAGGACTAACAAAATTATATTCTTGTAAAATGCTTAGTAAATATTCATAGGGTTAGCTCATTACCTGATTTGAGATTTCAATATCTAGAAACTATTAAATTAAAGAGTAATACTTTTCTGAATATTTAAATGTTTATACTAAAAGAAAACATTTTAAGTGATTTATAGTTAAAGGCAAATGTTAATTATTAAAAATTAAGTTAAGGATTCCTTTATATTAATGGATTTAAGCTATTTCAAATTCAAATTTCATGTGAACTACTGACTAATTTAAAAATGCAAATAGCGCATAAGTGTGTTTCATAAATCATTGGATTACTTAAAACTATCTGGTAACCAATTTTTGATTTTTGTTTAGATCGTACTCAGTGCCGTAGTGGCCTGCAGCTTGGCGAAGGCTAGCCTCGGCTACAGCGCCCTCGGAGGACTGGTGGCCGCCCCCGGGCTCCTCGCCGCCCCAGGCGTCATCGCCCCAGGACTGGCCGCCCAAAGCCTGGCCGCCCACAGCCTGGCCTACGGCGCTCCGCTCTCCTACGCCGCCCCCTTGTCTTACGCCGCTCCCCTCTCCTACGCTGCCGCCCCAGCCATCGCTGCTGCTCCAGTCGTAGCCGCCCGTGCTGCCATCGCTGCTCCAGTCGCCGTTGCTGCTCCAGCAATCAAGACCCAATACCACGCCCAGGACGAGCACGGTAACACCGCTTTCGGACACTCCGAACCCGGCCAAACCCACAGCTCCGTCCAGGACGCTCATGGAAACCGCGTCGGAAGCTTCAGCTACTTGAACCCCACCGACGGACAGGTGCACAGGACCGACTACGTCGCCGACAGCTTGGGCTACAGGGTAGCCGCTAACGACCTCCCCTTGGGCCCTGCCGCCCCCATCGCCGACACCCCCGAGGTAGCCATCGCTAAGGCCGCCCACCTCGCCGCCCACGGACGTGCCCGCAGGAGCCTCCTCACCACCCCCGCCTCCACCGCCCCACTCGCCACCCCCCTCGTCTACGCCGCTCCCGCTGTCTACGCCTCTCATGCTGCCTACGCCGCCCCCATCCACGCCCCAATCGCCGCTCCACTTGCCGCCCGTGCCATCGCCTCACCAGTCCTCGCTTCTCCCTATGCTGCTCACCTCGGCCTCCCAGCTACCCTCACCACCATCGTCAACAACCCCGGACATGCTGTCTCCTACAGGATCGACTGAACGTATATAGGATGAAGTGAGACCAGAGCTTACGAGACCAAAGTTGGGTTTCACCTTCTACCTATAATGTGTTAATAGGTTCTAAATAAATTTGTTTAATTTATAAACTAACAGAATGATTTTCATATTCCCTCTTCCCTTATCAGAAACAGCACATGTGCACTTTTTACAGTTTTAGAGTTAAGACGTATTCTGGATACATATCATTTAATACAAGAAATACATTATATGAATATTGTAATGATTGATAGTTTACGATATACACTCTTCGTATACTTTTATCTATGAAAACCTAAGTATTACACGATTTTCAAAATTGTGAACATTTCATGTATGTTTCTGATTCAATCATACGCTTTTATATAAGATACAGCAGTTTTTGACATGACCACTTTGTCTTAATGGCAACTAACAATAATAATGATATTTTAGCACCGTTACAAATATTCTATTAATAAATAACTCTTATACATTGATATGAATTATTTATCTCTTCCTGGTTTTTATCTGAAAGTTTGCATATTTATTTGAAGAATATAAATCTAGCTTATAAAAAGAAATGCTTCTTATAGGGGTATAAAATAATTCAAGTTTATCTTAATTAAAATGAGGTTTGTTACTGAATAAATTTAGATTAACCTCAAGTTTCGTTAACAAATTATGTTATTAGATATTTTGTAAGCCTCACGCTGCTTAGCGGAGGACGAAGCTGGATTAAGTACGATATTTTGTATTGTGAAACCTACAATGAAATCCTACAATTGCTTCGGAATGAATCATAAAATCCTTGCATATAACCCACTTTTAGGAAAACGTTCTTCTATAAAAAGGTTCAAGTTCATCTTAATTAAAATAAGGTTTGTTACTGAATAAGTTGATATAAACCTAAAGTTTTGTTAACAAATTATATTATTAGATATTTTGTAAGCCTCACACTGCTTAGCGGTGGAGGAGGCTGGGTTAAGTAAATACGATATTTTGTACTGTGAACCCTGCAATGAAATCCTACAACTGCTTCGGGATGAATCACAAGGTTTAATGGCTTTTCAACTTTTTGTATATTACAACATAAGCTTAAATACAAAATTTCAGTCGTCAGTTCTTCCGTTAAATGAACTGTCAAATTTCACCTCTTCAATTTAAATGTTCGTATAGAAAGCAACGGCTTTCGACCGACAGACCGAAGTTTTGTGTTGAGATGAGGTTTATCCGGAACTTAAAATGGCAACTAGCTTTAAGTCCTTCCGTTTAAAGAAATGGTCGGTAGCTCCTAGTCTATTAGCACGCTGATCCCAGATCGCTCCGCTAATGGTTAATGTCTGTTTTCGTCAACTTCAATTCAATTAAAAATCATTATGAAGGAGCATTAAATTTACTATGTATTTCATGTAGACACGTTAATATGTGACAAGATTAAGCGGCTTTTAAAGCGCATGGAATCAACGGTGTATTTCCCTTGTACCTCGCTCCGGTAATGGTAAGAAGGATTTTCCTCTCAAATCTTTCTTTCTTTGGAGCTGGTTAGCGTCCATGTCTCGCAGCCATACATCCCGCCTCGCTTTGTCACAGCGCTGGACCCCTTAAAGTGAGATTTATAGAGGTTTTTCCGAATTTCAGTTCCTTTAATAGAAAGAGGGAAACTCCGTTTGCTCTTATTTTACGCTGTTCAATTTCTGTCAGTTGATCACACATATTCAAGGATTTTGTGATTCATTCCGAAGCAGTTGTAGGATTTCATTGTAGGGTTCACAATACAAAATATTGTACTTACTTAGCCTCGTCCACCGCTAAGCAGTGTGAGGTTTACAAAATATCTAATAATATAATTGGTTAACAAAACTTGAGGTTCATCTCAGGTAACAAACCTCATTTTAATTAATATAAACTTGAACCTTTTTATACAAGAGAGTTTTTCTAAAAGTGGGTTATATGCAAGGATTTTATGGCTCATTAAAGTATGTATTATAAAGATGAAAATTACATTATTTAAGAAAATAACTCTAAAACAAGCAATAAATATGCAAAGATACAGATAAAAACCAGGAAGAAATAAATAATTCATATCCATGTATAAGAGTTATTTATTAATAGAATATTCGTAACGATGCTAAAATATCATTATTATTGTTAGTTGCCATTAAGACAAAGTGGTCATGTCAAAAACTGCTGTATCTTATATAAAAGCGTATGATTGAATCAGAAACATACATGAAATGTTCACAATTTTGAAAATCGTGTAATACTTAGGTTTTCATAGATAAAAGTATACGAAGAGTGTATATCGTAAACTATCAATCATTACAATATTCATATAATGTATTTCTTGTATTAAATGATATGTATCCAGAATACGTCTTAACTCTAAAACTGTAAAAAGTGCACATGTGCTGTTTCTGATAAGGGAAGAGGGAATATGAAAATCATTCTGTTAGTTTATAAATTAAACAAATTTATTTAGAACCTATTAACACATTATAGGTAGAAGGTGAAACCCAACTTTGGTCTCGTAAGCTCTGGTCTCACTTCATCCTATATACGTTCAGTCGATCCTGTAGGAGACAGCATGTCCGGGGTTGTTGACGATGGTGGTGAGGGTAGCTGGGAGGCCGAGGTGAGCAGCATAGGGAGAAGCGAGGACTGGTGAGGCGATGGCACGGGCGGCAAGTGGAGCGGCGATTGGGGCGTGGATGGGGGCGGCGTAGGCAGCATGAGAGGCGTAGACAGCGGGAGCGGCGTAGACGAGGGGGGTGGCGAGTGGGGCGGTGGAGGCGGGGGTGGTGAGGAGGCTCCTGCGGGCACGTCCGTGGGCGGCGAGGTGGGCGGCCTTAGCGATGGCTACCTCGGGGGTGTCGGCGATGGGGGCGGCAGGGCCCAAGGGGAGGTCGTTAGCGGCTACCCTGTAGCCCAAGCTGTCGGCGACGTAGTCGGTCCTGTGCACCTGTCCGTCGGTGGGGTTCAAGTAGCTGAAGCTTCCGACGCGGTTTCCATGAGCGTCCTGGACGGAGCTGTGGGTTTGGCCGGGTTCGGAGTGTCCGAAAGCGGTGTTACCGTGCTCGTCCTGGGCGTGGTATTGGGTCTTGATTGCTGGAGCAGCAACGGCGACTGGAGCAGCGATGGCAGCACGGGCGGCTACGACTGGAGCAGCAGCGATGGCTGGGGCGGCAGCGTAGGAGAGGGGAGCGGCGTAAGACAAGGGGGCGGCGTAGGAGAGCGGAGCGCCGTAGGCCAGGCTGTGGGCGGCCAGTCCTGGGGCGATGACGCCTGGGGCGGCGAGGAGCCCGGGGGCGGCCACCAGTCCTCCGAGGGCGCTGTAGCCGAGGCTAGCCTTCGCCAAGCTGCAGGCCACTACGGCACTGAGTACGATCTAAACAAAAATCAAAAATTGGTTAGCAGATAGTTTTAAATAATCCAATGATTTATGATAATGTGATTTAATATTAAAATTAAGTATGCTATAATGAATAAACATTTATTGAATTGTTGTTCTTAGCCTCATTCTCGGTAAAATTGTACATACAGGATGTTGAAACTAATGAAAAACTTTGTATTAAAAAAAATATCATTAAATAATTCTTAATATCTTTTATGGGTAGTAAACGCTATAATGTTAAGTTATTAAATTGGTTCACACTCTTACCAGGAATTTCATGCTGCTGTAAGGAATTGAGAGACCAATTGACGAAACTTCGGTAGCAGGCGGTATATATGTTAGCCCACAAGGTCGGGGTGGAGTCCGTACTTCCCGGTCAAAATCAATTTGAACATTCAGATCCTTGTGAAAGTTCAAATCTAACCAGGATTCTTGCATTGATAAAAAATAAATATTCTCAAAACTCTACTGATAAGACTGCTGCAAGGTATAGTATTAGTGAACTAGTGCAACGGGTAATGTTCTAAAATAAAGGAAAACAATAGATAACGGTAAATAAATATTTAACCCTTGAAGAGTATTAATAAAAATTATTTAGAAATATTCCACCTACAATAAAAGAACTTACAATACTTCTTGTTATTAAAAAAAAAAAAACATGGATAAATATATGTACTATATCGAAAGTATATCTGCGAAATCCACAAGTGCTCATGACATAATTTTCCTAGAGATAAACAAAACATCAAGCTTTTTGAAAACTTTTTAACTCACAGGTCATTAAATAAGTGGAAATGATGATAACTAGTGCTGCCCTAATGCAAGACCAAGACTCGTCTTAGTCTTGCGTAAGATTTCGCAACAGTCTTGTAGTTACCTGTTTGCATATTGATTGTACATGGCATGTCAGAGTTAGATGGCTTAACGGATTCATTATTGTGACAAATAGTTTTTCTTTAATTAAAAAATTCAAGAATAAATTAAAAGACCTAACAAAAATCGGGATAATTTTTGGTTTACTTATTCAATCTTATTCCTGCTAGCGAAAAACTGAAATTGTACTTTCCTAGAGATTGGTCTGCAAGGGGTAATACAGAGATTACAACCAATCTGTCTCCTCCATTTGATGGACAATTTCCTGAAGCACATCTTACTGACCATCCAATGACCGAACTTCAAACAATAAACCATCCACTGCAATATGGATTAACCATAAAAAAGAGAATGTCGATCCCTTCATGCAAGTGCACCATGACGTTGAGGGGAAGGTGAAGAAGTATGAGGCCCACAGATACTTATATGTTCTGATGAGAAGTTACCTAATAACTTCAATGAAGTCGAAGAATCGTGAAAAGAGGATGTACACAGGTCCACAGGGCTCTGTACTTTAACTTGAAAATCGGAAGTTCATGTTCGACGATTTGCTGGAGAAACTTGAAGAGGAGCTGTTTCCAACCACGGCCGATGATGAAAATGTGTACGCTGCGAACAAGTAATTTCCGAGAGAGTGGTCCACAAGGGGGAGTGACCGAGATGCGCTACTCTTAAAATCATAGAGACATGGCTGAGGTAATGGAGACAGAGAAGAAATATGCGCCAATCTTTTCGTTGAATGGTGCAGGAGGAATAGAATGAGAATGGTTATTGTTAAAATCCAAGCCATCCTTTTCCTAGGGCTCACTCATGAGTATTCAAGAATAAGGATATGCCTAAATGAACTAGTAATTTATCTTGTATTATGATAGGGGATTAATAAAAGTTGTGAATATAATGGAGAGGAGTTAGCTGTAGTGAGCAGTCCTAGCAAAAAATAAATAAAAAAACAAAATTTTACTAACTGACCTAAGACAACCAACCATTAACCAACACATACGTACTCACTACTCCCGATTTCATCTTAAACTACACGGACATCACAATAGACTTATCAAAGACCTGGCCACGGCTGAAATGGTCATCAGGAGGCGACTGAAAAGGAGCTGGATGAGAGATATCCTTTCCTGATTTCAGGATGTAAACATACCAGGGAAGATGTGCTGCTGGGTACTATTCTTCGTCATGCCTATCATGCCATCTACCTAACAACAAATCTGCTAATTGTCACTACCAGGACAGGTGCTGATGAAGATTTGAAGACCGTTAATATTGATTTCATAAGTTCCTAATCTTTTTGTCTTTTCTTAGTCCTGAACCTTGGGTCGAAACGTCGGCAAAAATAAAATAAATAAAATTTATTTATTTTTACTTGAGACTGCTCACCCTAACCAACTTCTCTTCATTATCTTGTATTATGGTTCCATGAAATGGCTACTTAAATAGAATAGTACTGAGTATCATTAGGAACGCGTCTCCAGGTAATAGAAATTTCTCGCATCAAGAGAGGAGAAGGTTGAGTACAATCCAGATGAGTGTTGCCCAAAATCAATCGTTGTCTTGCAAGACCAAGATCGCCGAAATGTTGCAAGACCAAGACCAAGAATAGTAAAAGAAATCGATTTTTGAATAAAAATTAATGCAAAATAGGTACTAATACTTAATAATTTTTGTTATTATATGTAAAGACTTGGTAGAACCAATCTAATTTTGCATTTAACTCTTCCAAGATTGCATTCGGGCTTAGTTGGATTTCTCCTGTCTAAAAAATTACATCTCTCTATAGTAATAAGCTGATTGGTAATTGCAAGACTGTTGTGAGACTTTAGGGCAAAACCAAGTCCTAGACCAAGATTGAGTTTGAAAGTACAAGACTCGCCTTAGTCTCGCATTTGGACAACACTAACTAATTCAGCCTCTGCCACTGCTGCAAGTGACCAAATCCTTAGGCCTTCGAGGCGCTATCTTTCTTTGTGGGAGAGGTACATCTCGATCTACTGCTCCTCAAGTATGTTTTTAAGAAATAAGGTCCACCAAGTCTTTTCAAATCCCTTAAGGAAGGGTTGCTCTAGAACGGAGGTGTGGGGGCACAACGGGCTAAAGCGTGTGGAAAACACGCGTAGCTCGACAACGTCATAAACTGTGATAAAATAAATACGAGTTCGCGTCACCGTGACGGAGGGGATTTACATTATCCCCCCCGCCCTCTCCCCTGGCCAGGGAAAATCCCTGTTTAGCCTAAAAGACGGGAAGGGGTAGGAAAAAAAAAGTTTGCTTCAGAATTAAATAAATGCAAAAAATAATACGAGTGGCAACAACTTTGGAGTAAAATCTCAGGTAGGTAACTACTCAGAAACATACTAATACCTTGAAAAATATTTTCCTGTAGTTTATTCACTGTGGGAAGTTAAAAGGATCTTGATTTAATATTCACTTGATTTAAGAAAAAAAGTATGTTGTAACGGATCACAAAATAAAATTACACACGATAATATTTATTTAAAACTATTAGAATCTGATATTGTATTAGTCAAATATATAACAACACATTATAATGAGGATATGCAATGAACTAATCTTTATTTATGATATTAGTTTAATAGTTGACTATCGCGGATATATTAAAGAGGAGTTGTTTAAATAAACTATAATTTTTTTCATTTTTGCCAATTTTTCGTCCCAGAGTTTAGACCTTCATCAGGGCTCATCTCACAATAAGTTACCATAAGATGATCTTAAGAATTCGTTCATTCTGAAGATCATACGGAATCTCTTTAATCTGTATTCAATTTTTCACTGATCTTACATACAATATATTTAGTACTTGTTTATTTCCCTTAAAGCGTGTATTGCAGTTCACATTCTTACATGTTATAAAAAGGACAACTGAATTGAGAATTGCGAAGTTAAAGATCGGAATGAAAGCAGTAATCAATGAATGATACAAAATAAATAAGACAAAGCAGAATATTCAATGATGTTTTCTTTACTCGCTATAATCGAATAGGGCGCCTTCCTCCAATGGTATTTCCGGTGAGAGAGCAACTTCCCGTCACAGGTTACTCATTCGGCGTGACCAACTATCTTACAACTTAATCATTCAACACCTCTGGGCTAAGAAATAAAAAAAAAAAAAGAAGGAATAAGCCTAGATGAAATTAACAAATCGTTTCTAAAAAAACAAAACAATAATACAAAATAAACAGCAATTTTACCAGCAATACAGATTCTGAAGAAGAATTACGTGCTACTTATAAAAATTTAAATTTAACCACCTATAGACAAAACGAACCAAGGGCAGGACCGTGGAGAGAAACCGAGGGCCCATGGAGAAAATTTCCGGGCCCCCTTCAAATATTATATTTACAATTACTATAAAACCTACCTCGTCCTTTATAATACATAAAAAAAAATCTGTACCATTAACAACTCATGAAGAGTTATGGGTTCAGTACAATGTGAGGAAGTACTGTTACAAGAACAACGGTTAAGCAGGGCTCAACCGCCTGGTTTTCTTCCATAATTAATTTTTTTAATAAGAGTCACCAATTATAAAGAGACTGGGTTTGCCCCAGGAGGGTCTCTCGGCCCCAGTGTCGACCCACGGCTGATGAAAAATTACTAGTCATCAGTCGGACTCGAACTTGGGTTCTTGAACTCTGGAAGTCAGTGCTCACTCACTGAGCTACCCCGCTCTCTCCCTTTAAAATACATGCAACAAAAACTGTATGTATATATATTTTAATTTATTTATTTTTTTGTCCTCCTCTTCCTCACCTTTTATGCTACACGGGATTTTCCCGGGCCAGCATTAATCTCCCGCCCTCGCCACTGTCTCGGAAAATCCCCATTAGCCTAAAAGGCGAGGAAGGTAAGGACAAAACAAACCACTCAGACAAAACATAGACACTCAGACCAATGGATAAGAATCTTTGGACGCAAATGACTCCTTTATAAAATAAAAAACTGTTGAAAACTGCGTATCGAACTTTTGAACGGACTACAATACTTGTCTTAGCTCTAGCAGTTTATTAAAAAAAAATACACTGGACTAGCTTACAATTCGACCAATCCAGGCCCGGGTTCAATATTGTATCATTACATACCAAATTAGGCGATAATATAATAATTTTACAATTAAAGTCGTTTAAAATGTGAGAAATTGTGAAACTGTCATAAATAAAAAGTTTCAGTTTTTATATCTTTTTGGTTTTGAACTATAAATGTTTAATAACAAAACAATATTTATCGCATTATTTTTAGATGTCTAAAAGGTATAACTAAAAAAAAATATTTATTCTAGTAAATTAAAACTTCATATTCAATTCACAATTAAAATCACAATGATATGATACACCTTTCGTATATCCATATTCGACCACATTCGACCAATAAGGTCGATCGGCTAATAATAAAAATTCTTGACTGTAACCTCTGACGATTTTGTTTCATCCAAATAATTGATCAGTCGACTAACTACCCAACAATAAAATAATATGTTTAATTTGAAAATCAATTTTCTATACATATAATAAAATTGATTTTTAGATATAAAAATAGAAAAA